ACTGGTGTGTGTTGGGAATGTTTTGTTACTGGTGTGTGTGGTGGGAATGTGTTTGACGGGCGTGTGTGTTGGGAATGTGTTTGTTAATAGTGTGTGTGTTGGAAATGTTTTGTTACGGGTGTGTGTGTCGGGAATGTGTTTGACGGGCGTGCTTCGCAGAAATGTGTTTGTTACGGGCGTGTGTGTCGAGAATGTGTTTGTTACGGGCGTGTGTGTCGAGAATGTGTTTGTTACGGGCGTGTGTGTTGGGAATGTGTTTGACGGGCGTATGTGTCGGGAATGTGTTTGACGGGCGTGTGTGTCGAGAATGTGTTTCTGACGGGTGTGTGTGTCGAGAATGTGTTTGTTACGGGCGTGTGTGTCGAGAATGTGTTTGTTACGGGCGTGTGTGTTGGGAATGTGTTTGACGGGCGTATGTGTCGAGAATGTGTTTGACGGGCGTGTGTAGCGGGAATGTGTTTGACGGGCGTGTGTGGCGAGCGCGTCTGTGTGTACACGTTGTCGCTGTCCATTTATCAACATCTACGAGTGTGTCGTCTTCCAGACACGATTGTGTTGAGCCTTGTGTTGTAGACTGGTGACCATATCTATAAGAATTTTTAAAATGTAATTTTCATTCTGATCCAGATGATACAAAGTTGGCATATGCCTTGTGTAACTGAAAACAACGTGTCATTGTGTGACAACCCTGAAAGTGACAGTGTTTGTCTATAGATGTATTTATTTATTGTTGTGATTAGTTCCACTTACCTCCCTTGTGATATTGTAGTGACTCTGTGACAGCGACATGACTGTGATACGGTGTAACTGTTATGTGAAAACAATGAACATGACAATCGCCCACCTTGGTTTAGGGTCCTACTCAGGAACGAGACAGCAGGGCTAGGCTATGATGTTAATGACTTACTGTCCTCTGGAAGATACCTGAGAAGAGTCCAGTCTCACCATCTACGGTTCTGTGGCAATGGTATTCATTGTAGGGCAGGATTACAGAAGGTGTCTGATGCCGCTGACACTGTTGAGGTCAACCCTTCACAGTCCTATAATTATCAACATTATCAAAAAGACAATGAGTAATGGATCTCGTCCTCTTTACACTGGGACGTTTGGAAATCGAACGAAATGTTTTCAGCAGATATTTCGTAGTACAAGAAATGTTTCTGTGGCCTAGTAATTTCAAAAAGTCCGATCCCGCCACGCCATTGGTTATAATGCACCCTCATGGAGAGTTTCATGCCCCGATACATCAGTGGACGAAATACGTCCTCAGTAACAGTGTCTGATCCCGCCACACATTTGCTAAAAGATAAAAGTTAACTGGGTCTAGAACTACTGCACAAACGTCTATTTAGACAACCTCGGTGTTTCGCCACACTGCATCAGAACGTAACAGAGAGACTAGGTACATCTGTCCGACAGACGACCTCGGGAACTCTGTCTGTCTGACCCAACTGCACCGTCGTTTGACAGACGACCTCGGGAACTCTGTCTGTCTGACCCAACTGCACCGTCGGTTGACAGACGACCTCGGGAACTCTGTCTGTCTGACCCAACTGCACCGTCGTTTGACAGACGACCTCGGGAACTCTGTCTGTCTGACCCAACTGCACCGTCGGTTGACAGACGGCCTCGGTAACTCTGTCTGTCTGACCCAACTGCACCGTCGTTTGACAGACGGCCTCGGTAACTCTGTCTGTCTGACCAAACTAGTACTGCACCGTTGTTTGACAGACGACCTCGGGAACTCTGTCTGTCTGACCCAACTGCACCGTCGTTTGACAGACGGCCTCGGTAACTCTGTCTGTCTGACCAAACTAGTACTGCACCGTCGTTTGACAGACGGCCTCGGTAACTCTGTCTGTGTGACCCAACTGCACCGTCGTTTGACAGACGACCTCGGTAACTGTGTCTGTCTGACCCAACTGCACCGTCGTTTGACAGACGGCCTCGGTAACTCTGTCTGTCTGACCCAACTAGTACTGCACCGTCGTTTGACAGACGGCCTCGGTAACTATGTATGTCTGACACAACTGCACCGTCGTTTGACAGACGACCTCGGTAACTGTGTCTGTCTGACCCAACTGCACCATCGGTTGACAGACGACCTCGGGAACTCTGTCTGTCTGACCCAACTGCACCGTCGGTTGACAGACGACCTCGGTAACTTTGTCTGTCTGACCCAACTGCACCGTCGTTTGACAGACGGCCTCGGTTACTCTGTCTGTCTGACCAAACTGCACCGTCGGTTGACAGACGACCTCGGTAACTTTGTCTGTCTGACCCAACTGCACCGTCGGTTGACAGACGACCTCGGGAACTCTGTCTGTCTGACCCAACTGCACCGTCGGTTGACAGACGGCCTCGGTAACTCTGTCTGTCTGACCCAACTAGTACTGCACCGTCGTTTGACAGACGGCCTCGGTAACTATGTCTGTCTGACACAACTGCACCGTCGTTTGACAGACGACCTCGGTACTGTGTCTGTCTGACACAACTGCACCGTCGTTTGACAGACGACCTCGGTGACTTTGTCTGTCTGACCCAACTGCACCGTCGGTTGACAGACGACCTCGGTAACTTTGTCTGTCTGACCCAACTGCACCGTCGGTTGACAGACGACCTCGGTTACTCTGTCTGTCTGACCCAACTGCACCGTCGGTTGACAGACGACCTCGGTAACTTTGTCTGTCTGACCCAACTGCACCGTCGGTTGACAGACGACCTCGGTAACTCTGTCTGTCTGACCCAACTACACCGTCGGTTGACAGACGACCTCGGTAACTTTGTCTGTCTGACCCAACTGCACCGTCGGTTGACAGACGACCTCGGTAACTATGACTGTCTGACCCAACTGCACCATCGTTTGACAGACGGCCTCGGTAACTGTGTGTGACTGTGTCGTTTGACCGACAACTGCACCGACCCAACGCACCATCGACAGACGGCCTCGGTAACTCTGTCTGTGTGACCCAACTGCACCGTCGGTTGGCAGACGGCCTCGGTAACTGTGTCTGTGTGACCCAACTGCACCATCGGTTGACAGACGGCCTCGGTAACTGTGTCTGTGTGACCCAACTGCACCATCGGTTGACAGACGGCCTCGGTAACTGTGTCGTGTGAAACTGCACCGTCGTTTGACAGACGACCTCGGTAACTATGACTGTCTGACCCAACTGCACCATCGGTTGACAGACGACCTCGGTTACTCTGTCTGTGTGACCCAACTGCACCGTCGGTTGACAGACGACCTCGGTTACTCTGTCTGTCTGACCCAACTGCACCGTCGGTTGACAGACGGCCTCGGTAACTATGACTGTCTGACCAAACTGCACCATCGGTTGACAGACGACCTCGGTAACTCTGTCTGTCTGACCCAACTGCACCGTCGGTTGACAGACGACCTCGGTAACTCTGTCTGTCTGACCCAACTGCACCGTCGGTTGACAGACGACCTCGGTAACTCTGTCTGTCTGACCCAACTGCACCATCGTTTGACAGACGACCTCGGTAACTGTGTCTGTCTGACCCAACTGCACCATCGTTTGACAGACGACCTCGGTAACTGTGTCTGTATGACCCAACTGCACCGTCGGTTGGCAGACGACCTCGGTAACTGTGTCTGTCTGTCTTGACCCAACTGCACCATCGTTTGACAGACGACCTCGGTAACTGTGTCTGTATGACCCAACTGCACCGTCGGTTGGCAGACGACCTCGGTAACTGTCTGTCTGACCCAACTGCACCATCGTTTGACAGACGACCTCGGTAACTGTGTCTGTATGACCCAACTGCACCGTCGGTTGACAGACGACCTCGGTAACTGTGTCTGTCTGACCCAACTGCACCATCGTTTGACAGACGACCTCGGTAACTGTGTCTGTATGACCCAACTGCACCGTCGGTTGGCAGACGACCTCGGTAACTGTGTCTGTATGACCCAACTGCACCGTCGGTTGGCAGACGACCTCGGTAACTGTGTCTGTATGACCCAACTGCACCGTCGGTTGGCAGACGACCTCGGTAACTGTGTCTGTCTGACCCAACTGCACCGTCGTTTGACAGACGACCTCGGTAACTGTGTCTGTCTGACCCAACTGCACCGTCGTTTGACAGACGACCTCGGTAACTGTGTCTGTATGACCCAACTGCACCGTCGGTTGGCAGACGGCTTCGGTAACTGTGTCTATATGACACAACTGCACCGTCGGTTCACAGACGGCATCGGTAACTGTCTCTATATGACACAACTGCACCGTCGTTTGACAGACGACCTCGGGAACTCTGTCTGTCTGACCCAACTGCACCGTCGTTTGACAGACGACCTCGGTAACTGTGTCTGTATGACCCAACTGCACCGTCGGTTGGCAGACGGCTTCGGTAACTGTGTCTATATGACACAACTGCACCGTCGGTTCACAGACGGCATCGGTAACTGTCTCTATATGACACAACTGCACCGTCGTTTGACAGACGGCCTCGGTAACTTTGTCTGTATGACCCAACTGCACCGTCGGTTGACAGACGACCTCGGTAACTGTCTGCTCAAGGCAGACATTAGGCTGATTAACAATCTCTGTTTGTATGGGTGATGATGGGCTTTTATTGTCTTACACATTCCCAGATTTGTGTTTTTTACCTCTAACTTTCCGAACCTGAAAATAACATTGGTGACAAAGCATTATTCCAGCTATCCTATCATAATTGCTGTCTTGCATCTCATCATCCAAAGGTCACGTGACGGACTGGATGGTAGAAAACCTGCAAGTCGGGATGACATGGCATGAGACTGCAGTGGACGTGAGTGGACGTCAGTGGTGATAAGAAAGATGCTTTGACACTATCTTTCACAAAATTTGCTTCGGAAGGGAGGTAACTGCAGTGGAGGGGACGAGTCAAGATCGGCAATGCGGATTTCCGAATCGCCAAGTTGTGGTGTTAGTCGCTCTCTGAGAGGAGACAAGTTCACTGTGTATTTCTTTTTGACGGATATTCACGATAGTGTAAGTACTCTACAATTGTAATGTTTGGAAGAATTATATTTTAATCAGGTGAACATGACATGAATGTTTCCTTTCATTATCTGTTATTTGGGCAACCATGGGCATTTGTTTATTTCATGAGAAAGTTGTATGTTAAGACTGCTTTCATGGCAGCTTAACCTTCACTCACGAACTTCCATCTACTCAACCGGTCGTGAGTGACAAGGACTCCATGTTGATGTCAACTTCCAGAGGAAGAATGTGAAGCACGACCACTGCCAGTACCCAAACAGTTGATTCTATGTTGAAACATACCACGATGTTCTACTCTGCCAACCCGGCCAACCAGTTGAACATGACCCCCCAAACTGTTGATTCTATGTTGAAACATACCACGATGTTCTACTCTGCCAACACGACCAACCAGTTGAACATGACCCCCAAACTGTTGATTCTATGTTAGAACATACCACGATGTTCTACTCTGCCAACACGGCCAACCAGTTGAACATGACCCCCCAAACTGTTGATTCTATGTTGGAACATACCACGATGTTCTACTCTGCCAACACGACCAATGCCAGTACCCAAACTGTTGATTCTATGTTGAAACATACCACGATGTTCTACTCTGCCAACACGACCAATGCCAGTACCCAAACTGTTGATTCTATGTTGAAACATACCACGATGTTCTACTCTGCCAACCCGGCCAACCAGTTGAACATGACCCCCCAAACTGTTGATTCTATGTTGAAACATACCACGATGTTCTACTCTGCCAACCCGGCCAACCAGTTGAACATGACCCCCCAAACTGTTGATTCTATGTTGAAACATACCACGATTTTCTACTCTGCCAACAAGACCAACCAGTTGAACATGACCCCCAAACTGTTGATTCTATGTTGAAACATACCACGATGTTCTACTCTGCCAACCCGGCCAACCAGTTGAACATGACCCCCCAAACTGTTGATTCTATGTTGAAACATACCACGATGTTCTACTCTGCCAACACGACCAACCAGTTGAAAATGACCCCCAAACTGTTGATTCTATGTTGGAACATACCACGATGTTCTACTCTGCCAACCCGGCCAACCAGTTGAACATGACCCCCCAAACTGTTGATTCTATGTTGAAACATACCACGATGTTCTACTCTGCCAACACGACCAATGCCAGTACCCAAACTGTTGATTCTATGTTGGAACATACCACGATGTTCTACTCTGCCAACACGACCAATGCCAGTACCCAAACTGTTGATTCTATGTTGGAACATACCACGATTTTCTACTCTGCCAACCCGGTCAACCAGTTGAACATGACCCCCCAAACTGTTGATTCTATGTTGAAACATACCACGATGTTCTACTCTGCCAACCCGGCCAACCAGTTGAACATGACCCCCCAAACTGTTGATTCTATGTTGAAACATACCACGATTTTCTACTCTGCCAACACGGCCAACCAGTTGAACATGACCCCCCAAACTGTTGATTCTATGTTGAAACATACCACGATGTTCTACTCTGCCAACACGACCAATGCCAGTACCCAAACTGTTGATTCTATGTTGGAACATACCACGATGTTCTACTCTGCCAACACGACCAATGCCAGTACCCAAACTGTTGATTCTATGTTGAAACATACCACGATGTTCTACTCTGCCAACCCGGCCAACCAGTTGAACATGACCCCCCAAACTGTTGATTCTATGTTGAAACATACCACGATGTTCTACTCTGCCAACCCGGTCAACCAGTTGAACATGACCCCCCAAACTGTTGATTCTATGTTGAAACATACCACGATGTTCTACTCTACCAACACGGCCAACCAGTTGAAAATGACCCCCAAACTGTTGATTCTATGTTGGAACATACCACGATGTTCTACTCTGCCAACACGGCCAACCAGTTGTACATGACCCCCCAAACTGTTGATTCTATGTTGGAACATACCACGATGTTCTACTCTGCGAACACTGTCAACCAGTTGAAAATGACCCCCCAAACTGTCGATTCTTTGTTGAAACATACCACGATGTTCTACTCTGCCAACACGGTCATCAGTTGAAAATGACCCCAGGGCTGTACAGTTTGATCCACGCTGCAATCAATCATGTATTGGTGCAAATGTCAGCTCTACCGCTGCCAGGGTTGATGCAGTTCATGGGTCGCCCAGGGCAACGGGATTGACTGATGACCCTATCTTTGCCTTGGGAGCGAGCTCCGAAGTATTTGTTATTTGTGTCCACAGGTCGACTTGACTGTGGCGGCAGATCAACACTGGCAGTCTGATTACACACATACACATTTTACATGACTATCACAGTATTTAGTAATCACTATGCGTCACTTAGCTCTGTTGCCTTCGTCAAGTGATGCTTCTGGTTTGCACCATACCCATCAAACTGTGGGCTGACAAGGTTGCTACCTCACCTGGAAATGGTCGACTGGTACTGTGTGTTCTACCCCACTTGACAATGGTTGACTGGTACTGTGTCTTCTATCCTACCTGACAATGGTTGACTGGTACTGTGTGTTCTATCCCCACATGACAACGGTTGACTGGTACTGTGTCTTCTATCCCACTTGACAATGGTTGATTGGTACTGTGTCTTCTATCTCACCTGACAATGGTTGACTGGTACTGTGTGTTCTTTCCCACCTGACAATGGTCGACTGGTACTGTGTGTTCTACACCACCTGACAATGGTTGACTGGTACTGTGTGTTCTACCCCACTTGACAATGGTTGACTGGTACTGTGTGTTCTACCCCACTTGACAATGGTTGACTGGTACTGTGTGTTCTACCCGACTCCACCTGACAATGGTTGACTGGTACAGTGTGTTCTATCCCACTTGACAATGGTCAACTAGTACTGTGCGTTCTACCCGACTCCACCTGTCAATAGTTGACTGGTACTGTGTGTTCTAACCCACCTGACAATGGTTGACTGGTACTGTGTGTTCTACACCACTTGACAATGGTTGACTGGTACTGTGTGTTCTACCCCAATTGACAATGGTTGACTGGTACTGTGTGTTCTCCCCGACTCCACCTGACAATGGTTGACTGGTACTGTGTGTTCTATCCCACTTGACAATGGTCAACTGGTACTGTGTGTTCTACCCGACTCCACCTGACAATAGTTGACTGGTACTGTGTGTTCTACCCCACTTGACAATGGTTGACTGGAACTGTGTGTTCTACCCGACTCCACCTGACAATGGTTGACTGGTACTGTGTGTTCTCCCCGACTCCACCTGACAATGGTTGACTGGTACTGTGTGTTCTACCCCACCTGACAATGGTTGACTGGTACTGTGTCTTCTATCCCACTTGACAATGGTCAACTGGTACTGTGTGTTCTACCCGACTCCACCTGACAATAGTTGACTGGTACTGTGTGTTCTAACCCACCTGACAATGGTTGACTGGTACTGTGTGTTCTACCCCACTTGACAATGGTTGACTTGTACTGTGTGTTCTACCCCACTTGACAATGGTTGACTGGTACTGTGTGTTCTATCTCACTTGACAATGGTTGACTTGTACTGTGTGTTCTACCCCACTTGACAATGGTTGACTGGTACTGTGTGTTCTATCTCACTTGACAATGGTTGACTGGTACTGTGTGTTCTACCCGACTCCACCTGACAATAGCTGACTGGAACTGTGTGTTCTACCCCACTTGACCATGGTTGACTGGTACTGTGTGTTCTACCCGACTCCACCTGACAATGGTTGACTGGTACTGTGTCTTCTATCCCACTTGACAATGGTTGATTGGTACTGTGTCTTCTATCTCACCTGACAATGGTTGACTGGTACTGTGTGTTCTATCCCACCTGACAATGGTCGACTGGTACTGTGTGTTCTAATCCACCCTGACAATGTGGTTGACCACCTTGACAATGGTTGACTGGTACTGTGTGTTCTACCCAACTTGACAATGGTTGACTGGTACTGTGTGTTCTCCACCTGACAATGGTTGACTGGTACTGTGTGTCTATCCACTTGACAATGGTTGACAATGGTTGACTGGTACTGTGTGTTCTCCCGACTCCACCTGACAATGGTTGACTGGTACTGTGTGTTCTAACCCACCTGACAATGGTTGACTGGTACTGTGTGTTCTATCCGACACCTGACAATGGTTGATTGGTACTGTGTGTTCTATCCTTGACTCACCTGACAATGGTTGACTGGTACTGTGTGTTCTACCCCACTTGACAATGGTTGACTGGTACTGTGTGTTCTACCCCACTTGACAATGGTTGACTGGTACTGTGTGTTCTACCCGACTCCACCTGACAATAGTTGACTGGTACTGTGTGTTCTACCCCACCTCACAATGGTTGACTGGTACTGTGTGTTCTATCCCACTTGACAATGGTCAAGTGGTACTGTGTGTTCTATCCCACCTGACAATGGTTGACTGGTACTGTGTGTTTTATCCCACTTGACAATGGTTGACTGGTACTGTGTGTTCTATTCCAATTGACAATGGTCAACTGGTACTGTGTGTTCTATCCCACCTGACAATGGTCAAGTGGCACTGTGTGTTCTATCCCACCTGACAATGGTTGACTGGTACTGTGTGTTCTATCCCACCTGACAATGGTTGACTGGTACTGTGTGTTCTACACCATCTGACAATGGTTGACTGGTACTGTGTGTTCTACCCCACTTGACAATGGTTGACTGGTACTGTGTGTTCTATCCCACTTGACAATGGTTGACTGGTACTGTGTGTTCTATCCCACTTGACAATGGTTGACTGGTACTGTGTGTTCTATCTCACCTGACAATGGTTGGCTGGTACTGTGTGTTCTATCCCGCTTGACAATGGTTGACTGGTACTGTGTGTTCTATCTCACATGACAATGGTTGACTGGTACTGTGTGTTCTATCCCACTTGACAATGGTCGACTGGTACTGTGTGTTCTATCTCACCTGACAATGGTTGACTGGTACTGTGTGTTCTATCCCACTTGACAAT